TTCGATGTTTTTGAAGCATCCTTAAAAGATTACAATTAATGGTTTTACTTCACAGTGAAATAAGAAGAAGATACTCACTGTTGACACAGGTTCAAGAAGAGAATATGGTGGTTCAATTTCTCTAAGTTGTATCATATAAAGACCACCGGATTGATTCAGACATGAAACAACTTTAAATTGCCGACCAGGTAGAAGAAGAACTTCATCTTCAGTTCTGAATGATGAATGTTGTTGAATATCTTTACCATGGATGCATTCAATGGTAAAAAAAGTTCTTGTACCTGTCGAACCCAAGTATTGATCATTCTCCAAAACGTCCTGAGTTGTTGTGCAAGAACTGAATCCCCACCAAATAACTGTTTCTCCTTTCTTATAATAATTGCGCATATCTGATTTGATTCCTCGATAAACAGTACGCTGTAATGGTGGAAGTTTTGATAAAGCCGTAAGAATTAATTTCAAGTAAAGAAACCATGGAACTAATTTTTTCCGATTTTCAGCACGAAGAGTTGCGTTTAATACATAATAAAGACACTCTTCCTGTGGCTCCCATTCCATTGAATAAAGAATGATAGAAGCTGATTCATCTTTTGAAAGATGATCAGCAGGCGGATTGTCACATTTCATTTTAGCTACGTATGCCATTCGCTTTACATCGGGTACGAATTGAACTAATGGTTCAACTGCATCTTCGAGTGAGACAAGAGGTTTTTTTTCATAACCTTGAATAGGTAATAACATTCGGCAAGGTTCCCCAGCCATGTCGCAAAAACGTTGGTTATGTTGGAAATCATTATCATCATCATTGGAATATTTTTTAGCCATTACTTCAATCGAAACCGATATGAATTCTACAAGAAAAAAATAAATAAATTGATCTGTTTTGTAAAAAATATAGCATCATCCATTGGTTAGAGATGATATTTCGAATGTTTAATTGCATAGATAAAAGTCCGACTAAGAAAATTAAAATACATCACTTGAGGATGTGAGTGTGGCTGTGAATGTGAATGTAACTATAGGAAAAATATCCACACCCACACGCTCAAGACATATAATACTGTTCAGTTACAAGAGACTCACATAAATGAGACAATTACGTACAAATCTTACGAGACATTCATTATCGATTTTTTTTCTGTGATATCAATAGAAAATATCATCAAACGTAATAGCTTCGTTTTTCTGTTCATGAGACAATTATGTGTATGTATCGAGAACATGAATCAAATTAAAGTAAAAAGAAATCTTTGAAAACATATATACAATCAGCATGTAAAAACATTCTGATGCACGACCTTCTTTAAAATATAGATCGATATTTTTTATACAGATCGAAGTAAAAAATCATAAGAAACGTAAATATGTTTCAAAATGAATTTTAACTGTTTTTTTCAAATATAACCGATGAATGAAGATGCATGAATTCTGACTTATTATAAACTGACTACCATCTACACTTACCTAAGAACGGCAAAAGCCGATCAAAACGGTTAAGGACTGAATCAGTTACAACTGTGTTTTGGACATTCCGAAAAAGATGAGTATAGTAAAAACTAACTTTTTGAGTTGAATAAATTCCGATATGATACATATTCTTAATGTACACACATCAAAATATCCGATCATAGATTTATCTGACACTTTATTGAAGAACACCTAAGATATTTTCAAAAAGAACTCTATTATGCCATGCAATAGCGATGAAAACTGAAAACAATCTGATGAATCAAAAAATCAGTTTTATTCTCCTCCTTGTTCCACAAGAAGTAATATATAATCAATAAATTTAATCGTAAAACTAATATCTATGTACCTTGCATTTAGCACTGTCATTAATAAAAACTAAGACATTCGGAAGATAATAATTCAAAAAGAGAAAAAAATTCATGAAAACTCACTCTGAGTTTTTTATTGTTGTTTTGTTGAATAGTATGTCTGGCAAGCAGCAATATGTGTTTCTTTTTTTTCTTTCTTTTTCTTATATAATTTTCAGAGCTTGCAAAATTGAGTTGCAATATTGACTATGCATTATAGGAACGATGATTACGTATTTTACTTTTGTTAAATAAACAACATAGCAACAAGCAGAAAGACTAAAAGAGCTGAATGATTACTTTAACTGCAATGGCTAATGAAGGCCGAAAAATATGTTGTTTGTGCAGTTGAAAGGTGTGAAAATTCTCTCAACAAACTCTTTCAAATGAACACGACAAAATGAAGTCTGCGTTTAATTAGGCTATGTTAGCAGTATCGAACTCGAGCTATATGAATTATGAAATCATCGTTGACACATTCACATATCGACTAAACAGTTTTTATACCTTCTATATCTTTGTTTTTTCAACAATTTCAGAATTCGAAATAGTAATATTAAGAGTGTGGATGTGTGTCTCTGTTCTCTTATCTTTAGTTCACTCACATCCACGCCCAATTCATCTAGAATATGCAAGGATAATTAACTTGATTTAAATAAGATTATAATGAGTGAGTAGAAGAATATAAAATAGTTCAATAAGTCAGATTACATTAACGTTACAAGGTAATCTAAGAAGATATTCAATCTAAAAATATTATTATTGTATGTCTTGTATAGGATCATTTTGCTAGGGTGTGGATGTAAATGTCGATGGTCAACTTAATATTCAAACTCACGCCCGTATCCACATCTATATCTACACCCACCCACTCCCACACCATCACCTACACCCATATCCATCCTCAAGAGAAAATATATTACATGAAACTTTCCAAAGTGGAATTTTTACCACACAAACTAATACTATTTCCAAACAAAACTGTATCTCCGGCAATTCCATTCTTTTCTGATTGTAGTTAAGAATCGAAACCCGTTTCTGGATTAGTGCTAGTCTATGCTAATGAGCAAATATTAGACGATAAAACTGCTATTTCACCCAGTATTTTAAGGCAGAATCCCCCTTTTTAGCCGATAAAGTCCTTCACAAAAATCAGTATTCGATGCAGAATCAAATTCTGCATCCATCACAATCACTTTTCGACCCATCACGAATCACGGAGCGAATATCTACAAGAAATACTCGAATCTGCCAATAAATTTCACTGTTTTTTTTTCTTCTAGATAGTGCTAAAATTATAAACATTGACATGATTTCATTCTATATTAAAGTATTTATTTTTTAGAATGCGTGTAAGTGCATGTAGCTTATCTGAACCTTGGATATTTTTTTCTATGTGAGAAACAATTGATAATAAATAAAATATTCTAATTAGTAATATTTTTCATAATCCATTAGTTAATTCGTCTAGTTTAATTTCTAACTCAATAATATATTTATCGACTTAATGCTTACTTTGATTCTTCTTCTGTGTATCCCATTCTGATTCATATATTTTTAC